CATCAATATATGGCAAATATGTTGATTGTTGAGGCTAAATATTTTGGAAAGGACCAAATTCAAGAACTTCTAAAAAGATGTACACTAAAACCCCACTTAGAGGCGAACTCATTGGTAATCCAAATATTTGTTTATAAAACTTTATTGTTATAGATGAAATAGCATTGATTGGTAATGAGTCTGTAGATTTTTATGATTTAGTTGTTGGCCGGGAGAGGTTTATTTTTTATTGTGTTAGTTGCTTAGTTTAAAAGATTTAAATATGTGTTAGTAGGAACGTTTGTGCGAAGTGATATAATATCTAAACTAGTCATGAGTTTATCAGTCATATTTATTCCTCTTAGTTTTTCAACCAGGTTGCCTGAATTTTTAACATGTGATGAAAAGAGGGGTTAAAATTTTTGTTTTCGCTTTTGCCAGTTTGTGACTAATATCTAGTATAATGGAAGGTGTTGGAATGCTTGCTTTGTGGGTTTTAGGTAGACCATAAAATTTGGGTATTCTCAGCCGGTATTCTATTTGTACCATAATTTATTTTCATTATTAATTAGTTTTCTAACCGCTCTATTAAATTTCTGTGTTTCCCCTTTGTCACAGATTTCCCTATAATTGTTCTGATATATAAAAATTAATATATCGTTTTCCCATTCAAATATATATATATATATATATATATATATATTGACTAATTAAATATCTGTGCAAAGTTTATGTATGAGAGGATCTCGTGCGAATAATTTATCATAAATAATTTTTTTTTTTTTTCATTGTTGCAAGTCTAAACGTATATCTTAAAATATAATATGCCAAGTGTATTTATTATTTTTTTTGTCTGTAACCTTTAGTAATGTAAGGGTTATCTTCCTTGCACTGAAAACATCTGGTGTCATTGTCATGCCAAATATTCGGATTCTTCCATGTTGTTTTAGAAGTTCCAAAGTGAAAAGACCCACTCTGTGAAAGAGCGGAGTACAATAATATTCACTGGACAAAAATAGATTTGAAACGCCGTCACATTTGGCGACGTGACTAAAAGTTGTATGTAGACATTTGCTGGGCTTAATTTCGTTTGCTGCATTGATAAAAATGAGTATAAGGCAGCAATAAAGACTGTGTTGTAAAAGTGATACAAATTAATAAGACCAGCCAACTTAAAAGGATCAGCATTCGAAATCCTGGGTTTGCCTTCAGCTCGTAATACCAGCATTGATGCTGGTAAGAAACAAGGAAACATGCTAATTATCACACACACACACACACACACACACATATATATATATATATATATATATATATATATATATACACTGGCCAACACAAGGACTGACCAAAATTTACGATAAAGAAATAAAAAAACAAATGAAAACTACAGATAAAGTTCATTTTTCTTCATCAAGTCATTCATTCCTGTAGTTCACAGCTACTAACAAGCGGATTTTTTCTCCTGATGATGGCCATGCTGGCCGAAACTAGTCGAGAAATATAATTAAAAAAATAAAACAAAAAAAAATATTAACATATAACCTTGTGTGTCTGAACATTTTAATTTATTAATTTTTTCATTTCTCAACATTTTTTATTTATATGTGTGTGGGTGGTTTTAGCAAGCAGGTCAGTTGGGAGGCCACTCTTGCGTTTTAAAAACAAACTCGATGACAATCTGAAGTGATGCATCATCCCCCTTTTTCTACTGGGGAAACAAAGCGTCAGCGTGAACGAGCTGTCACCTGTCCTGCTTCTCATTTATACAAAGGTTTGAGCGAAGCCGACTTGAACATCGGGATCAACTGCGTGCAAATATCAAAGAAAGTTGGCAGCATACTGCTCCTCTCAATGATAGCATTACCTGCCACTCTTTGTGGCTTTGTAGCACGCAGTAAAGCAGGTCTTGCTGTCCGCTCGCGGGAACATGTGGCAATTGATCCTAAACCATATGTTCCCTCTGTCTAAAAGTTTGCAAAATACCTGAAGGTCTAAGCAGACACATGTGTCCATAGAAGTTGAACACCTCTTTATTTTAGTGAGCCCTTATTTGTGGTCCTCGTCAAGAGAGTCCACTACAATCTATATGAGCACATCAATAAGTCTGTAGACTAATGATGTCGAAAGTACTTATTTTATACAAGTATTTATTTTTAAAAAATAGTCTCCTCTCTTATCGATGTAATTCAGTAAGGAATATTAATCATATGGGTCGAGCATCATCATACTTATTATAAAACCCATGTTGTGTGTGTGTGTGTGTGTGTGTGTGTGTCTGTACGTTTATATATTGGATCGGATTTCCTACATTTTTCAACCGATTTCAACAAAACTTCACAGGACTACGTAAAATTACCTTGCGGTGGTTCTGACAGCACAAAAAATTGGAAAAACAATTGTTTTTGCACAAAATCAATTTGAAAACACGATTAAGAGGCATCGCGAGAATGAAAGAGGGACAACTCATATCGAGTTATACTTATAAACCCCAGGTTGTTTGAGTGTGTGTGTGTTTGTTTATATATGGGATCGGATTTCCTACATTTTTCAACAGATTTCAACAAAACTTCACTTTTTTTGGCAGGTAGTGTTTCTTATTGTCTTGCACACTTTTTTCTTTATTTTTACATTCAGAATGCTTTAAAAATTCCATTTACAAGACAATTGTTTATAATAAAATTCTATTCAATCGATAGACTCATAACGATTGAAAACAATGTTTTTGTTTGAGTTTGACCAATTCGTAAAAAAAAAAAAAAAAAACTAATTAAGACATGCGTGTCCGTCAACCTTAAACAATAATCTTTGTCAATTTTATTTTTCAGTCTTTATGACGGTCGATACTTGATCTCTTACTGTTACATCTCCGGGCAACGCCGGGCTCTACTGCTAGTATTTAGATAATAACCGCAAATCAAGCTCAGCACTTAGTGATTCATCCTCATACATATATATATATATATATATATATATATATATATATATATATATATATAATTCACCCTAAGCAAGGCTGTAAAGCCACTAAGATTCAAGGGGTTACTGGGTATGGAAGAATTAGAAAGCAAAAACATTAAAGTGCGAGAACAACAGAAGAGTAATCAGGAGGACAGTAGATAACGACTGACATTGCATTTAAATTTTTGAAGATCAAAGTTGGCTGGAAAGCATGAAGCCGACAGTGTTCCACAAGCGAGAAGTACGAGAAAAGAAATTGTTAACATAGAACTTACGGTTGCATCTAGCCAATTCAACTGTAAATTGATGAAACCTTGTTGCCAATCTAGTACTACACTTAAATTCATAATGTCCAGGTACAATATCGAAAAGCGATATTTATTGTGATATATACAGAGAAATGTGGCACAAGGTCAAAATGGGGATTGGGGAAAAGGACGGTCTTCTTCAATATCGAAGAGCTCATCCAAACAATTACCATGAAAGTATTTATAGAAAAGGCACAGGGAAGCTACTTTACGGCAGTAGAAAATTGACTGAAGCCGAGATGCCAGATCAAGACCAATAATATCGTTGATTCTTCTTTAGATTTTATCAAGAATCTCTAAATATATAGCAAGAGAACAAAGGCCATTTTGTGTCTATAAGTAATTAATAATTTTTTTTTTTTAATCTGACATGATTTCTTATTACAATTAACGTTATTTTACGTGAATACACGTGTTTGAGTCGACATCCGTCATTCTAAACAGTGCAATCAATGTCAAACAGCCCAGATATCAAGAGGTCTTATTAAAGTAAAATGTGATTCCCGAGAGGTCTCGAACCTGTATTTCCTTCTTCCTTGTGAAAATTGGAAAAAGATAAGTGATGAAAGTGCATGTGGAATTCGCTTAATAATTTTGGATCTGATTTTTTTCTTGTTTGACATTATCGAAACTTTCTTTATTTTATGCCATTTCCTTTCTCCATGAATAGTTTTATCGATTAATACCAAAAAAGAAAAAAAAACTCCCTCCAGAATGTTTTTTTTTTCTGTATTGCTCTTTTTTTCGGCACACAAATCTTTCAATTACGAATGATAAAATAAAATACAGTTTGTTTGATAATAGACTACAGGCGATTCAAACAAAATTCACCAGTCCCATTCTCTTGATTCTGTTCGAAAATTAAGCAAATAAGAATTCTTTTAAAAATATCATACTGTGCCAAAATTTAAAGGTCTGTTGATTACTTTCTTTAACGAATGACGACTGGATTTTTTAAAATGGTTTTCTTCTTCTGTTATATCTTAGTGTTATTATATTTGTCCTGTTTCATCTGTCGCCATGAGAATGGGATATTCAATTTCCAATCTTATTGCATGGAAGATATCTTTCTTACTCAAGTCAACCGGATGAAGACAAGATGATTTCATTTCCTTCATTAGTGAATTATACGATCACAGAGTTCATCGATAGAAATGGAATTCCCAATTTCGATTCTATTTAACGCTGGTACTTTTAGTCTTCGAATTGAATGACAATGCGAAAACATTCGAGAGCTGACAGATCCTGTAAACCTGCAAGACTAATAATTAGGAACTGATTATGCAATTATTGCTTCTCTTATAATTGTCGATGAACATATATTTTTATAAAACGTCAAATTTGATTAAATAATATCGATCGATCTCTGACGAGCTTTTTACCCTGGTGTTCCGAATGCGTGAATTTAAACGTGCTACTAGATTGGCATCTAGGACCCACCCTTCAATAAGGGTGGGACCTAGATGCCAAAATGCAACCGCCACTTCTAGTCTAACAATCAATTTTCTGGCATTTCCGGCATGTGGAACTTCCTTTCATTTCCTAGCTTCCCTGAAAACTACAATCTTTAAAAATTTAAATGCAACATTAATCGCCATCTTCAGTCTTCTTGAATCCCGTTCATCTTTTCTCCTTTCCTCAATCCTCCTTAGACTCCTCTTTCACTTTCACTTCCTGTAATCCCCTGCGAACTAGTGGCATTCCTGCCTTGTTTGGGGTGAAATGATAAAAAAAACCCTTTTTCTCTCGTTCTTACGGTCATATGACGTTGTGACACCGCTTCTCGTACGATCACCAAAATTAAGCAACGTCAAACATGGTCAGTAGTTAGATGGGTGACAGCTTGGAAATACCAGGTATCGCAGTAACTGCTTAGAATTGGAAATCGGAGGGTCGCATTCCAATTCCAGCCAGGTTCGTTATATTCACTTACGCGCAAAGTATACCTTCGAAAAGGTATGAATCCACATATTCTCCCCCTGCTATGGGTTAATTAGTAGACCTTGTGTCAGTAAATCATTATCTCTAAAACATTCTTACAATCTAAAAATATTTTCTGGTTTGAAATAACTTGCAAAAGCCTGATAAACCGTAAAAACAAATATCTCTCTCTCATATATATATATATATATATATATATATATATATATATATATATATATATATATATATATATATATATATATATATATATATATATATATATATATATATATATATATATATATATATATATATATATATATATATATATATATATATATATATATATATATATATATATATATATATATATATATACCCATATATATTATATCCATATATATATATCCTCAAGGACAGTGGATAAAGGCGTTGGTTAGATCCAGTGACAGAACCCAAAGAGTGTGAGTTCAATATCCGGTTAAGGCAGTGGAGAACTTTCAGAGGGAAATTAACAGGAGATAACTGATATCCATCAAACATGGCACGTGAAATTAGAACAGTCTACACCAGTGAGCGAAATAAAGGGTTCAGTTCGACGTTCCAACCACCTGAAGAAGGCCGAAGCGTACAACGGCCGAAACGTTGTGATAAATATGGCGACAAAGATGAGGACAATAGTCCGAATAATGTAAATAATATATATAATATTGGTTGTGTAGTAACAAATCAAATTAGATATTCATTTATCTGTCCGTATTCTGAGTATCGCGGAGATTACGTCCTTTTATGTCATGTCCACGAAACATTTAATTTTATTTATTACTATTAATGATCTATCTCTTGATATTAAGCATTATAACTGCAAAAAAAGGGTTTGTTTTGAGAGGGTTATCTTTCAGAAATACCCTGGTCACCCTTTAAAAACCAGCAGTATCTATCTATAGATAGATTGTAGCTATTGCAGTTTTTTTTTAATATACTAGTTGTTAGGAAGAACGGAATGTTACTCTCATTAAAGGCCAGATTTATTTTGCTTCCTCTGGCTTACAGTGTTGTAATGAATGTAATTAAACTGACCGAACATCAGGCCTTGCGTTTTAAGTCATATGCAATAGCACAACTCTTAAGCTAATTATGGAAATCAGCTTAAACATCACTTGATATTTGTGACATTAGCGTAACAAGTCAGTGGTTGGAGATGAGGGTGAAGACTATAAACTCCAAAATTAAAACCCACGTGCCAAATTGATTAGTCTCATTTCTAATGTTTATTCCAAACTATAACAAAAGGCCAGTTCCGCCATTACGAAATCATATTTATTGCTTATTATAGTTAAAACTTATTAAGTATTACCTATAACCTATAACATATATCTGCTAGCCGAATTTCTGTTGAGGGCAGTAGATAGAAACCTAAAAGAGAGTTTCTTATTTATTTGACTGCACAAACTCAAGTGAATGATCATCTGTCTTTTTGGCCGCATCTGGTGCTAGTATTCTGCGTACAAATGTACTAAGTTAGGAATTGCTGGTTTTCAAGGTCTTCTTTTAAGACTGATTTTTACGAGCTTTCTATCTTTTCTAGCATAGTGTATATTCGTTGGCCCACGAATATATATTTAATTACCAGTCTGTATGTCTGCATAATCTCTTGTATCATTATATCCTATTACATTTACCTCTTATCTCATCACTCATAATCAACCTGTCTGTCCTTCCAACATCTTTCATTCTTTCTTTCTCATCTACATTAATCTCCTTTCTTTCTCATTTTTACCAATTTTCTCCTTTTCTTTCTTTTCTATATGAATTTTCTTTCTTAATTACAGCAATTTTCTTAATTACTTTCCTTTCTTTTTTTTCTCGTTTTTATCAACTTTCTTTCCTAACATCTTTCTTTCTCATTTATATCAATTTCCTTTCTGTTTTCTTTTTTCTGTCTTTTTTTCCTTTCTGTCTTTTTTTCCTTTCTTTTCTATATTAATTTCTTTCTTTCACATTTACATCGGTCTTCTTTATAAATCTCTTTTTTTAATTTTTTAACAATTTCCTTTCATTTCTTTCTCCTTCATAACAACTTCCTTCCTTTATTTCTTTCTCATCTGTATCCACTTCCTTTCTTTCTTATTTACATCAGTCTTTATTTCTTTTTTCTAATTTTTTACTAATTTCCTTTCTTTTTCTTTCTTTCTCATTTATATAATTTTCTTTTTTCTTTCTTTCTCATCGATATCAATTTTCTTTCTTTCTTCCTGTTAGCTATCGACTGGATGATTTAACAGTTTACCTGCCTAACAAACAACTGACAGTATCTGATGTCCGTACGAATGTACTTATTTCTTATTTACTGTCACTCGCCTCAAGTCCTTTATTTTCGTTTCCACTGTCCAAAATAGCTCTGTTCACCTATGTTTACGCCCAACTGTTCGTCTGTAGAGAAATATCGATCGATAATCTACATTTACTAGTTAAAAATATCGAATACACATTTTCCTATTAATCTCTGGGCTACTGACCCTAATCAGTTTATCATTACCTGCTTTACTTATTCCTTACTTACAGTTTAAACATATGAAACAAGCTTACTTCAGTTAAAAAGGAATTACAGTTTTCTTAGTCCAGCCTTAGGAACAATGGCGTAAAATTACTTCTGCAAGCAGAATAAACTGATTTAAAATTTGAACAAAATAATTAAACTGTGAATGAAATGAAACAAGGAAAAGCTTAATACTTATTATAATTATTTCCTTTCTGTAAATCTTGCCAAGTTTACTTTTTGTTATGATTGCCAAAAAAATCTTGATTTAAAGATCCTTGTCTGGGAAATGATAATGACTAAACGACTCTTTCTTTTACCTGAAAGGTGATTAAATAAAAAAAAAAGTGTTTGTAGAACCGTGGCGATATAAACATAGTTTCCATAACTAAGTAGTTTTTAGAATCGTGCTTGATAAATTTTATGAGTGACAGCCATTTAAATGACAATAGACACAATTAATACTAATGGTAATACTGGTGGAGCAGTGAGTGCCACTTCCGGTTGAAATTTATAAAATATTTCTATTAAAAGTTTTTCAGGAAAATAGGTTTCTGTAGTCCAGTAACTGTTACTGCTCTTTCCACTATTAAGAGGGGTTTTCTTATCTGAAGTAGTCAATATTTTCTCGTAGTTATATGTGAAATCCTCAAGTGATGTCGTTTCTAGTATTTGATACAGTTGTTTGCATGTGTTTCTGTAGTGTAAGTCTGCAAGGTTCAAAGAAAATGGTCCTCTCTACATACTTCACGCACTCAAAACTATTTTTAACAATCGATCTGAAGAAAAACGGTTGTATACAGCTGATAATTTAGATATTTCTGAACTAGCTGAGCGACAAGCATGACATCCAGATGAAAGTCTACCTGACGAGTATATTTAAGTCCATGACTGGAGATTTAGTTAATTTTTTGATTTCGTAGCGACTTAGTATTGTACTAAACTACCTCTAAAGAAGCCTATTCTATGTTCACTTTCCTTATCTTCTCTACTAAATTCATTAGAACTTCTCTATAAAACGAGGAATTTGAAGTGTTTAGCCTTTACTAATTCCATATCCTGGAATTTTATGATGGATTCAAGGTATGTCTATATTTCTGAGATGAGGTATTATGTACAGTATTTACATTAGTCGGACTATTGTCTAGACTGTTCTAGTTCCACGTGCCATGTTTGATGGATGTCAGTTATCAGTTATCTCCTGCTAATTTTCCCTCTGAAAGTTCTCCACTGCCTTAACCAGGTATTGAACTCACCTTCTTTGGGTCTGTCACTGGATCTAACCAACGCCTTTATCCACTGTGTCATGTGTCCTTGAGGACATCAAACATCAAACATTGCACGTGGAACTAGAACAGTCTACCCCAGTGATCGAAATAAAGGGTTCAGTTCGAAATTCCAACCACCTGAAGAAGGCCGGAGCGTACAACGGCCGAAACGTTGTGACAAAGATGAGGACAATAGTCCGACTAATGTAAATACTGGATTCAAGGTAGGTGTCATTACTGCTTTCATTCCATTTCTTGAAACACTTTATAGTGGACATTGATTTTCTTCTATTTTTCTTTTTTTTTTTTTTGTTCAAGATCATTCCTTTTCCAACTAAGAATAAACAGAAAATCGACAAATACAAAAAGAAGAATGAGAGGTTTCTTTGGGTTTATTCAATTAACAAAGTACAAACTATTATTAAGCAAATTCCATTTCATGATCTTCTCTTTGGGAACAAGTACAATGCGTATTACCATGACACAAGAATATCTGGTTTATAAGTAGGTGAAATCAGGCTGCTAATACATTGCATTTTATTTCTCTCGTTTCGTTTCAACTCTTTTTTTTCTTGATTTTTTCTTTTTTTTTTTACGATTAAAAAACATTCTTTCTTAGATGAAGCAAAAGAAAAACTTAATTAGATTGGTAAAAACCCAAGATTACTAATGTAGAAAATATAACCAATGAAGTTGTACAATTATTTAAATACGTCCGTCTTTTTAACTGTACGATTAAACTAGTATTAGAATAGTGTACAATTATTCCTACAATACACTAACCTTGAAAACCAGTAACTCAGAGCAGATTCTTTACAAGAAGTCTTTTGCAAACTTAGAAAAGGGTTCAATGTTACAAAGAAATCTCTTTTTAACCCTAAAACGAAGAGTGGGAGTGCCGAATAAATAATAACATGTGAATTTTCATTTTATTTACTCTAACATACATCACCCGTAGAGCTCTGATCGGATATGTGGACCCTGCATCTTATCTGCGATGTGTGAGAGGCTGTCCAACCATATCTATGCCATTTGTTTATATATTCATCTGTCTAAAGTTTTTTTTTTTTTTTTTTTTTATAACACATGCATATATTTGTCAAGACCGCGGATAGTCACCTATTAAGGTCTCCAC